ACGGGAAAATCTGTTCACCGGTGCGTGCAGCACCTTTGGCCCATTAACTTCAGACTGTTACATGTCTCTTCTCCCATAAGTGCTACAACATATTGTGGTAACAGTAAGAAATGTATACGACTTAATGAACCGAAACATTTCTTGCCTATTACAAATATTTACTTAGACCCCTTCCCCCCTTCTTACTTCGCTTTTTCTTCGTTTTCTTCTCTTCTTCATCTTTTTTACTTCATTTCCTCTTCAACCTTTAATAATATTAGCCGATAAAAAAGATGCTGTCCTCATTTGGAGGAGGTCAAAAACTAACATCTGAAAAGAGTGGACGAAAATTAACATATTTTGAAAGTTCATCTCCTCACTAACTATCTGGCTGATTTAAAAAAAACACATAATAATACCTGCGCTGCAAAAAGATGCTGCTCTCATCTCATTCGATATCGGTCACACCCGTTATTGTAAAATTGTCCTTAATCAATGTGCCGCAAATTCTTTTCGTGCTCCATCGTAGCGTGAACAAAATTTTTCCGCATTTTCAATGGTTATTGCTGCAAAGAAAGAATGCATGCATGCATATCAGTTTAGCAAAAGTATCAACTGTAGAAATGGTAATGGTAAGAATTGTGGTAATGGTAAGAAATGTATACGACTTAATGGACTGAAACATTTCTTACCATTAAAAAAAAAATTTCAACGTTTTATTAGTTCTTTTTTTAACATAAAAATATTTTATTTATCTTGTATCAGCTGTTCGAAATCACCAAACTTGCAATCCCTTTCAGAGGTAAAACTCGAATATCAGAATCGCCAGTTAGCTGACCGCCAAGCGTTACAGCACTGGTCAACAATGCAACTTGCAAAAGTTGCCAGCCGCAACAGTGGCAAAAAAAAGAACTGCGATCAAAATAACAAGTTGCTGCGGACACACACACACACGCACACACACACACACACAGACAACTCCGTGACAATCGGCGTTTTGTATTGCTTGTTACACAGCACAAAACGCATATTATCAACAGGCTGCCTGTGTGTGTGTGTGTGTGTGTGTGTGTGTCTGTGCGTCTGTGTCTGTTCGCACTTTTTGTCACCCACTTTCAACTCGAGAACCAGAAAAGCCAGAACACTGAAACTTTGGGACGCCGAACTTAGAAGGCTGAAACTTTGGAGAATGTAAGCACATTTAATAAAAAACGTAAGAGCAGAGAGTGCTTTCAGTGAAAACCCATCACCCAATGGGCTCCTACCAGCACCGGATAGCTACAGCCCAAGTTGCACTCTCAGCGTAATCCCATGTGACGAGGGCTTTATTGATGGGATTGGATCAGCTAAAATCCACAGGTTGATTCCTCAGCTATGCAACTGGCAACTTTTCCAGTTTGTTTTGACCATTGGCTTCACCGGCTACTACTGGCCATTCTGACATTTGTTTCATTTTAACGAAACATGCACATCATTTGCTCAGT